ATAAGCACTGGACTGTTAACTGCAAGGTTGGTGGTTCAAGGCCACCAGTCGCTCCTTGGAAAACCCTACACAGGGTTGTTATGAGTCAGTACCAACTGGAAGGCATTTAACAACAACAAATATCTCTCTCATGGTGATCCCACATGCACTAAATAGGGTTATCAGGGCTTTTATTGAGTGGATTCCAACTCAGTAGTGGTCAGTGCTCAACTATTATATGAAAGGTTAGAATGTAAGTCCAGCTTGAGGCGCCTCAGAAGAAAGACCTGGTGATCTGCTTCCAAGAAATCAAGCCTTGAACATCCTATGGAGCACAGTTTTGATTGGACACATACGGGGCTGCCATGAGTCAGGGTAGACTCAACAGCAACTAGAAGGCATACTTGGAGGAGGAATACAAATGGTGTAGGCTGGAAGCATCACTGAAGGAGCGGAAGTGATTGCTGGTGAGCTATCTTCACTCTTGTCTCGTTTCTTCTGAGGGAAGCCCAAAGCAGGAAAGAGATGCACAGATTATCAAATCCAGCCTTCTCCGCAGACTTACCTATAGTTACTGCCTTCAGAGGCAGGTCTGAGCTTCCCAAGGTGAGGGGCCTTTCTCAGAAGACCCTACAGGGGCAGAGCTTGTAGGAGGAAGGGCAGGGAGCCAGGTGCCTCTCCTTCCTGTTGTTTGTGGAATCCTGGCCAGTTTCAGTTTACTTAACACAGCTTAATCCGCAGAAACAGGAGCCTTGAGGCAGGTTCTTTCTCTCTCTCTCTCTTTTTTTTTTTCTTCTCTAAGACATGGAAACCTTTATTTTCTCCCTATACAACAAACCGGTGCTGTTAAATAATATTGGATAATTGCACCTGCCGTACTCCCCATATTGTGCTGAGGAAAAATAATTGCTGGTTTTCGGCTTTGCAGTTTAGCTGTGACTCTGTCATTTGACTCGGAGTATGTCATTTTCTCCCGTTTTAGATTGTGTACAGTGGAACGTGTAAAAGGACTCACAGATAGCGGCCCTGCATGTGTGAGTGGGCGCAGGCCTCATTCAGCAATGATTTCTCATTTATACAGCATTGAAAACGCACAGCTATAAATAAACAGTTCTGACTGGCTTTCATGCCTACTCAAATGCTTTATTAAAAAAAAAGAAAGGCACCGCCAACTCCAGGAGGAAGGAAAACAAGACTATCAGGATATGGTCTCTGGATTCTGGCACTGGGGCCTGGAGCAGGGGGCAGGGACATTAGACTTGGGATGAATCTGGGAGTCAGGTTGGTGGCCTTCTGGGAGGTCCAATGTCCTCACTTCTACCTCAGTCCCTTTACTCTCCCTATGTGCACACATAACGTGTTTGGGTATTACAGTTATGTGAAATGGACTTCCTGTTATGACAAATATTGCAAGCAAGTAGGTGCAGAGGAGCTGAAAATAGCTTGAAAAATGTATGACCCTTTTTGGGAGGGATGAGGTTAATGTGTACTGCTTAGGCAGTCAAGGTAAGTCTTCCACTAAATTCAAAATTGATTTCATATGTCAGATAGTGACATGGGACCATAGACACAGGCATGGGTCAGTCCTTGGGGCAGAGGTGCCTTCTCGCCCTCAGTCTGTGGGGGGTAGTAAAAAATCAGAAAAGGGAGAAAAAACAAAAAAACGTTGCCATCCAGTTGATTCTGACTCAGTGTAACCACCCTAGGTATGTATGCAAGAGTAGAACTGGGCTCAAAAAGGTTTCTAATGGCTGAATTTTTGGAACTTTACCAGCAGACCTTTCTTCTGAGTTCTTCAGGTCATACTTCGACCTCAAACTTTCTGGTTCGCAGTAGAACACAACTGTTGCACCTCCCAGTTGTATGGGTGATAGTTTCCATCAATGTTGGGGTCCCTGGCTATCTTCTTTTTGTTAGTCTTACAGATTAGGATATATTTTTATATTTTTAAAACAAAAAGTTTTGAGTGACCAGTCACTGCTTTGCTCTACACCAGAGAGGAAGGGATGTGACCTAAGGAACACCTATGTAACCTTGGACCTGAAACCAGACGTGTACTGAATCTAGCTCCTACACATCTCTTCCCAACTTGGTATACAGTGGCATCATGTTGGTGACTTGAAAGGGTCAGGGTGGGAGGATTTACACCATGGAAATCGACAAACACTATATATCAAGGCTTTAAAATGTTGATTTCCAGAGGGTTAATCTGAAACTCAGTTTGCTCATCTGTGAGGCCAGGCTATAGTACATTTTTCACTTATGAGGTTTTCATAAGGAAAAAATCAGATGAAAGTGGTTGTAAATCACATGACACTCTATGAAGCCTCAAGTGGCTCTGTAGGATGAACAATGGACTGGTAACTGCAAGGTCAGCAGTTCAAATCCACAAGCCGCTTTTGGGAACCCTATACAGGGTTGCTGTGAGTTGGAAACAGCAACATTAGAGTAATATTGCTGGTATCATCTTTTGGCTTTTACTACTGTTACTTTAGGACTACTAAGGGACTCCTGATGTGGTGCTGTGGGTTAATGCACTGGACTGCAAGGTCGCTTTGAACCACAAGGGCTGTTGTTTAAGCTCACCAGCTACTCCTCAGAAACCCTATACAGAGTCACTATGGGCAAGAGTCAACTCGACAGCGCTTAACAACAACAAGTCAAATGTTTGCCTTAATATATAGTACATATTTTACCTTCTATGTATATAAGAGAGTCCTGGTGTGGCATTGTAGGGTAATGCACTGGACTGCAAGGTTGCTTTGAATCCCAAGGTTAGTGGTTCAAGCTCACCAGCTACTCCTCAGAAACCCTCTACAGGGTTGATGTACATCAGTACCAACTTGACAGTACTTAACAAGGGATTCCTGAAGTCTTGGTATCGTGCCATAGGATAAGCACTTGACCTCAAGGCTGGTCTGAACTTCCAGGTCAGCGGTTCAAACTTACCAGCCACTCCTCGGAAACCCTATACATGGTTGCTCTGAGTCGGAACTGACTCGCAGCATTTAACAACAACAAAGGACTCCTGGTGTGGTGCTGCAGGATCAGCATTGGACTGGGAACATCAAGGTCAGCAGTTCAAACTCACCAGCTGCTCCTCTGAAACCTTATACAGTGTCATTATGAGTCAGAACTGATTTGACAGCACTTAAAAACAGTAACAAGGGCCTCACACAGTATTACAAAGGCAACGACATTATATGCCTTTTTTTGTCGTTGTTAAGTGCCATTGAATCGCTTCTGACCCATAGTGATCCTATCTAGGGTTTTTGAGAAGCAGCTGGTAAGCTTGAACCGTCGACTTGCAGTTCAAATCGACTTTGCAGTCAGGCACATTAACCCACAGCATCGCGACAACATTTTAATGACTGTCTAGTCAATGCTGTTTACAGCTGTTTGGTTGCATACCCTTTAAGCTATAGCAGCACTGAAGAAGCTCTTGTGTGCTTATATATGTGTGCACGAGAAATGGTTCTGCGGATGCTCTGGTGTTGGAATAGCTATTGCACGGTGACCAGCTATGTGGCAATCAAAGTTTAATTTGGTCCTGGGGATAGCAGAACCACAAATAGAAACTTGCAGGCTTACAACATGATTCTGAGAGAGACGCAGACCAAGTTGTCTTGGGGGTGTGGAAAATTTGGGTAATTTCCACTGTGGTAACTGCTTCTGGGCTCCCATGGAGAGCAGGTGCTAGCGTAGAGTTGAGAGGTAGCAGGTGTAGGGAGAAGAAGGTGGTATTCCCAGCTCAGTACCAAAAAGGCTTGTGGCTCCTGCTCATATGGTAGTAGAAAAGGTTTTGCCATGCAGCCCTCTTCTTGTTTCAGGGTGTCTACTCGCTTGAGATCGTCTTCTTCCCTAACTCTTCAAGACTGCTCTTGGTGTCCCTTTTCACCAGATTTCTCCTGCTTCATGGTGTTTACTTATGAAACCCTAGGACAATTAACTCCAGTGCTGACATCCCAAGACAGAAGGGGCTGGTGGTACACTGGGAGGCTAGAACGTGTTCATTCACCATGAAATCTTTGACATTTGTGTTCTTAAAAAAAAAAAAAAAAAAATGTGGCTATAAATAAAAACCCAGAAAAATGAAAACAGAGCTCCCGAATGTGCTTGTAAATCATATGACAATCAGCTTTGTAAAAACCATAAACCAGTTCAACAAAGTGCTGGGCAGCAAAGTTGTCTCCACAGCCACCCTAATCATACCTCCTTCTACCCAGATGAGCCCCCGAGCATAATGTGCAACGTTCATTTGCTGAAGAATTCTGGTTCAGATGGAAGCAATTTTGGCCACGTTACTATGTTCAATGCTTATATTTGTTCCAAATGCTTGCTTACAAGAGAGATGTGGTTCCCAGTGTGTTTTATACTTTATTTTCTCATTGCCTCAATTCATTTACAATCTGACCAAACTGACATAGAGCATCAGTAGTACCTCCTTCCCTATAGTTCTATCTAGATCTAGAAAAAAAAACCCGTAGATTAGCAATCCATAAAAAACAACTCGTTAATGGCTTTTCCCCTCAACAATTTGAGATGATGTCACTGGACTGGGAATTGGAAAGGTCAGGAATTTGGAACTATTATTGCCTTGGTTTGAGCACTGATTTTTTTGGTCTCATGCAAGTAATTACATCTTTGGTATCCAGCTCTGTAAGGTAAAGAATTTGAAAGTTTTCCAAGTTCCCTTTACTCTCTTATACTGACTTTATGTGAGTTTCTTTGGTTTTGACCACAGACCATCCCCCACGGAGGTCAGATCAAGGTAATCAATTCTGAGATGACAGAAGATGTTTTCAGAGTGTCCTGGTAACCTTTAAAAAAAAATCCAAATGTCCTCAAATCAATCTACCTTCATAACCCGCCTACTACACTTAAATACCACTTCCTGTTCTTTATATCTTTGTATGTTGCTCCAGCACTTCCCCTACCAGGAAACTTGTTTTTTTTTTTTTTTTTTAAGACATGAACTCTGGCATTTTCTTCTTCCTTGGTTCTTGGAAAACAACATGTAATCACTTCTGCTTCTTCCTCCCCGGCTGCACCATGTCACCTGGGTAAAGAAGAACAGAGAGAGACCTCAGACGTTAGGGCTTCCATAATGGTCCTTCTGATGTGGGCGAAGTGTCCTCTGAACTGGAGAGTCAGTGGAAAGATGGGGAAACTTCTCCCCGGGCTAGACAATATGTTTTAAGTTCTGAGAAATGACTGGAGTCTGTGTATGGTGCAAAGAGTGAACGCTCTCAGCTGCTAAACAAAAGGCTGGAGGTTCAAGGCCACTCAAAGGGACATTGGCAGACAAGCCTGGTGCTCTACTTCTAAAAAAATCAGCCATTGAAAACTCTATGGAGCACAGTGTTCTCTGACTCACATGGGTCATTGTGAGCTGGAGTTGACACTATAGCAACTGGTTTTGGTATTTTAAGAACTACATTTTTATGCAAAGAACACACATTTTATATATATGTGTGTGTGTATATATGTATATATATGTGTGTGTATATGTATATATATACACATGTATACATGTATATATGTATTTATATACACACACACGTATATATTGTTGTTGTTATGTGCTGTGGACTTGGTTCCAACTCATAGTGAATCCTGTACAGGGTTTACGAGGCTGTAAATCTTTACAGGAGCAGAAAGCCTCATCTTTCTCCCGTGGAACCACTGGTAGTTTCAAATTGTCGACCTTGGGGTTAGCAGCCTGATTCATAACCACTGTATATATATATATATACAGCTATATATATATAGCTAACTGTGCCCAACCCATAGTATTTTCGTAAATGCACTATAATTTTATTTTATAACAACATGCAAGAAAAAAAAATATATCTATTACAGTGTGCATAAGAAAATAACTCATGGAAAGATGGAGTGGTTGGCAAAAATAACACATGAGTTATTTGTGTAAAAACACACCACCAAACCCATCAACTACTCCTTGGAAACCTTGTACAGGGTTGCTATGAGTCAGAACCGACTCAATGGCACTTAATAACAACTCCAACAAAAGCAAGAAGTTCAAAACTCTGCTCAGTTAACCAATTAACAAATAACAACTTTTGCCTCCAAGTAGCTCTTTGTATCAAATATGAGACCTTTTTGACACGTGTCTGCAGGTAGTACATAGTCCATTGACTTCGCAAGCTTGAAAATGAAAGCAGAGACTCCATCAAATAAGAGCAAAACCACAAGAGCAGATATTCACCTAATGAAGGGCTATTCCATGACATCTCTCAAAATCAGTTTACCAGCAGGGCCCTACACTGGTTCTGCCCAGTTCAGTCATGGCCAATGGAGTGAAACATGACAGATTTGAATTTTGTACAGTGTAGGTATACTAGAACCAGATTGGGAAACATTATGGGTCAATGCCCTGCTAGAAATGTAATCTCTCTCAGAGAGAAGGGCAGTGTGTCCATTGCATCACAACGAAATCTCTTGAATAGCAGGATCAGAAACATCATTGCTCCACTCAAATATGGAGGCACACAGCCCCTCTTTGAAAGAGAGTTCTGGCAATAACCCAATCTCCCACATCACGTTCTTGGCAGGAATCTCTTCAAAGGGGTCACCTACACCTCTTCTGAGTCTTCCATTCCAGGGCTTAGACTCATATTTTTTCCCATTGCAGTTATCGTTTGGTACACAAACATTTTACATATTTGGGTCAGTTCTGATTTTGAAAACTTGGTCATTACTGAACCAGCTCAAATCAATTTGAAGGCCTGCTTTACCAACCCAGATGGAAAAGTACCAATATAATGATTAAGTTTCAGTAAGCTCCTTATAGGGCACTTTATTTTACTGAAATTATAGCTTAAGATTTCTAGAATGATTCAGCCAATAAGTTGATACCTCCATATTTAATGATCATATACCTTTGTATAAGGAGTCCTGGTGTGGCACTGTGGGTTAGTGCGCTGGGCTGCAAAGCTGGTTTAAACTGCAAGGTCAGTGGTTCAAGCTCACCACCCACTCCTTGGAAAACTTATAAAGGGTCATGATGAGTTGGAACTGACTCAATGGCACTTAACAACAACAACAACAACCTTCATATAAGCACTGAAATTTCTGTAACTTCATTAACTCATTATTATTGCCAAATGTTGGTGTCCTGCATTGAAAACTTTTCTTACCCACCTCTTCTTAGCCATCCCTATAATTTGGAGCTCTGATCATTCTATTGGCAAAGTGGCAGCATCAATGGGCTCAAGCATGGCAACGATAGTGATGTTGGCCCAGGACCAGACAGTGTATCATTCTGTTGTGCATTGGGTCGCTATGAGTCAGTACTTACTCAATGGCTCCTAACAACAACAACAATCATTCTTTATGGTATTATTGTTGTTAGGTGCCATAGAGTCAGTGCTGATTTGTAGCAACTCTCTGCACAACAGAATGAAACACTGCCGGGTCTTGCACCATCCTCACAACTGTTGAGATGTTTGAGTCTGTTGCTGCTGCCATTGCTGTCAATCCACCTTGTTGGGGATCTTCCTCTTTTTTGTTGACACTCCACTTTATCAGGAATGATGCCTTCCTGTGATTGGTTCCTCCTGATTACATATGACCTTGACTATATGTCCTTGCCATCCTGGCTTCTAAGGAGTACTCTGGTTGTACTTCTTCAAACACAGATTTGTTTGTTATTCTGTCAGTCCATGGTACTTTTAATATTCTTCTCCAATATCATAATTCAAATACATTCTTTTATAGTTTTCTTTATTCCTTGTCCACAGGAGGTGATTGAAAATATTATGGCTTGGAATGGGTGTACCTTAGTCCTCAAACACTTAAAAGGGGTCTTGCACAACAGATTTACCTAATGCGATGCATCATTTGATTTTTTGATCATTGTTTCCATGAGTGTTGATGGTGGATCCAAACAAAAGACTGATGACTTCAATCTTTTCTCCATTTATCATGATGTTATTTATTGGTCCAGTTGTGAGGATTTTTGTTTCCTTTACATTGAGGTGCAATCCATACTGAAGGTTGCACGTAGTCTTTGATCTGTATCAGTAAGTATTTTAAGGCTTCTTCATTTCCAGTAAGCATCTGTATATTGAAGACTATTAAAAGAGTCTTCCTCCAATCCTTATTCATATGTTTCAGCTTCTTGGATTATTTGCACCACATACAGACTGAATAAGTATGATGAAAGGATACAACCCTGGTGCGTACCTTTCCTGATTTAAGCCATTTTACGTATCCCCTTGTTCTGTTCTTACAACTGCCTCTTGGTCTATGTACAAGTTCTGCATGAGCACAGTTAAATGCTCTGGAATACCCATTCTTTGCAATGGTATCTATACCTTATGATCCACAGAGTTGAAATCCTCTACACAGTCAATAAAGCACAAGTCAACATCCTTCTGGAATTCTATACTTCCAGCCCATATCTATCTGACATCAGTAAGGATGTTCCTTGTTCCACGTCCTCTTTTGAACCCTGCTTGAGTTTCTGTTAGTTCTCGGTTGATGTATTATTACAACCGCTTTTGAATTATCTTCAGCAAGTTTACTTGCATGTGATATTAATGATATTGTGTAATGATTTCTGCATTCCATTGGCTCACCTCTCTTTATATATGGGTACAGATATGGATCTCTCCCAATCAATTGGTCTTCCAAATTTCTTGGCATTGATACTTAATCTCTCCTGGGCTGCAACAGTTATTGAAAGATTTCAGTTAGTATTTCTGTCGATTCCTGGAGCTTTTCCACCAATACCTTCAGTGTAGCTTAGACGTTTTTTAGTACCATCAGTTCTTGAAATGGCGGCACATAGACTTTTTCTTTTTGATATATTGACTATGTATTTCTTCCATCTTCTCTTGATCCTTTCTGCATCATTCAATATTTTACTTATAGAATCCTTCAGTATTGCAAGTTAAGACTCGATTTTTTTCCTTCAGTATTTCAGCTTGAAAACTGCTGAGTGTGTTCTTTCCTTTTGGTTTTCTAACTCAGCCTTTCTTCTTAAGCTGTCCTTTGAAATTTTTTGTTCACCTCTTTTACTTCCTCATTTAGTTCTTCCATTCGCTTTAAATTTTCTATGCTCAATAGCAAGTTTCAGAGTCTCCTCTGACATCCATTTTAGTCTTCTCTTTTTTCCTGTCTCTTTAATGACCTTTTGCTTTCTTCCTCTATGATGTTCTTGATGTCATTTCCACAACTCTTCTGGTCTCCGGCCATTCATGTCTAATGCATCACATCTGTTCTTGAGATGGCATTTAAATTCAGGTGAAATATATTCAAGGTAATAGTTTGATACTTAGGAACTGGACTTGTTTTAATTTTCTTAAGCTTCAGCCTGAACTTGCATATGAGCAATTGACAATCTCTCTACAGTCTATCCCTTGCCTTATTTTGGCTAATGATACTGAATTTTTCAGAGTCCTGATGTGGCAGTGTAGGATAAGCACTGGATTGCTATAACAGCCACTCCTCAAACCCTGTACAGGGTCACTATGAGTTGGAACCAACTCGATGGCACTTAACAATTGAGTTTTTCCAACTTCTCTGCTCACAGATGTGGTCAGTTTGATTCCTGTGTATTCCAACTGGTGAGGGCCATGTTTATAGCTGTCTCTTAAGTTGTTTCCAAAGGTATCTGCAATGAACAAGTCTTAAACATTTTTATGATGTGATTATTTCTGTCACCCAGGCCATATTTTCCAACTACTGATCTTCTCTGTTTCCAACCTTCAAATTCCAATTACCAGTAATTATTAATGTATCTTGATTGCATGTCTAATAAGTTACAGACTGAAGAAATTGGTAGAATCCTTCAATTTCATCCTTACTGGCTTTAGCGATGGGTGCATAAATCTGAATAATAGTGGTATTAACTGGTCTTTCTTGTAGGTGCATGGCTATTATCCTATCACAGAGAGCACTACTTTTCAAGACAGAGCTTGAAATGTTCTTTTTGATGATGAATGCACCACCATTCCCCTTCAATACTGGTGTTATCCCAGCCATTTTGTGCTCTTAAATTCATGCTTCACTTGCAATATCCACTCCCTCCAT